TGTTTTTGAGATTATATTACTCATAGGTATAGATATAGTACCTACGTGACGATATGTCGGTCCGATCATCGGACTCCGATGTGTATCAGTTTTTGCACATGGATGGGTATTGCTATCATGGTATTGCTGCTAATTATTCCTATCCAAATTGCAAATAAATATGAAATGGTAACTATGATGTTTCAGAGAAGAATAGCTTACTATTGTCTGATTATCGTTTACTATTTCTTAAATAGGAAGAGGACATGGTCTGAGCTAAATCGAGATTCCAAGTCAGGAAACGGATGTTGTCATCCGGGCCAGATGCTGACAATAACTTTACCAAGAAAAATTGAAAAATGCATTGAAAATCCAAAACACAAATTTATGCAACTGTTCGTAATAATTTTTGTTTTTGTTAAAAAAAATTATATTAATATTTTCTTTGAATCTTCTTTGGAAGTATTGTCTAACGCCACCTAGCGTCTAATAGAAGCAACTCTAGTCCTCACAAAGCAACAAAGATGGCGCTAAAGTCTGCGACATTAAAGCCACTATTCGTCAATAGATGGCGCAACTGAAACAGTGCCATAACGCTACGTCACACGAGCGACCAATGAGAACGACGGAATTTACAAACAAAAGAGCAACATCGTTCGCGTTGTGACGTCGTGCTGCGCAGCGTGGCTATTTTCGTGCCTCTGATAGGGTAGCCGACATTTTGTTTGGATCTTGTGACGCAAGCTTAAACGGAAAGTTGGGATATGCCGTTGAATGCGGTTGGCTGGACACCGGAAGAGGAGGAAAAGTTAGTGGATTTAGTGCAACCTCATAGTTTCTTATACAATGTGTATGACCCGTCTCGTAAAAACATATTAGCGAGGGAATGTACATGGCAGGAAATAGCGGGGCAACTGTCGAAGCCAGGTGAGCTCTCATTCGCTATTTTTTGTCGAAACGGTGCTGCATAGGACAACCGCAAGACTCGGTAACTAAGCTTTATTTGAATTGTGTTGTAAAAATACGAGTTTTTTGATAATATCACGGGGTATTTCGCGTGGAATATGCTGTGGGTTTCCGTTTTATTATAGGTTGACCTATTTACGGGTCAGCTTGACGTCGTCGTCATCGTTTAGCTCGATAGTTGTAATATTTTTAGCCTCATTTGAAAATCAGCTGATTGATGTTGTCAATACAACATAAACAATTTAACTTGACCTTTACGACGGAGACACATCATTAAAATGTTTGGCCTTGTGAGTTATGAACAAAACTCTATGAGGAATTATTTCTACATATTTTGAACATTCAAAGTGTTGACATAGTGTAAATGCCAAACTGAATAACATAATAAGTTAGTAGAACTCTAATACCCTTAATGATAAAATGTCCCTGTGCATTCTTGATGGAATTCTCAAGTAATAAATGAAATAAGAACAGTCAAATATTAATTAACTAGAATCAGCAATCATACTGACATGTATAGTGATTTTCATCCTTAAACACTTTTCTAATGTATACATTATTATGTCATACAGTCCCAAAGAGTAGACTGAAGTCACAATCATTACATATTTATTGCTTTCTCTATATTCAAGTAGGTACTGGTCATACACATTGTTTAACTCTGAACCTGCCCCTTTTTCTACAATTTAATTTATTATCTACAATCCCCTTACAGACCCAATAACATAAAAATACAAACAAATGATTCTACAGAATAATAAATAACATAACAATGCTTTAAATTCCAGTTGAGGAATGCAAAAAGCGCTGGCGAGGCCTCCGAGATGCCTACACTCGCATCAAACGCTTAGGGACGATGCACAGAACCAAAGTGTTCATATATGAGAAACTGCAGTTCCTTGACGAAACATTAGCTGATAACAGTATGGAGGACGGAGTTAAGATTGAGGAGAACGAGGGCATCACTCAGGATGACTCTATAGGCACTGAACAACAAGTTATCATTGACAATCAGGAGTGTTATGAGGTGATTGTATAACTTTTTTACATTATCACATTAAAGGTTATGATATAACTGACTGATCTGCAAGTCATTGGGGCTCCGTCAATTATTGAGGCCTTTTTTCCGCAATGGAGGTCTTGAGATGTGACTGACACTGGTGATAATATGATAGTAATGATTTCATTACTATTACATTGTCACAAAATGCGCAGGCATCCCTTGTGTGTACTGCTAAGGAGTGGAATTATTCGTCAGTCTATGTTTTCTGAAGGGTATAACCTGGGTGTCTTCAAGGCCCGAGTGAATAAATTGCTTGTAGCTCGACGTTCTCCATCATAAACCACTTACCACCAGGCAACTAACAAATACGCCTGCCCATTTTGTTAATTTAGTAAATGAGTTTTAATTCTCCTTATCTATTTCTATAGTTTCTTTGTTTCGTATAAATTTAATATTACAAAGTTTGGTGATAACATTGATATTCTTGGTTTTTCAAGTAGTTTGTATATAAGATATAAGAATTATTATCAAGTATTAACATGACAATTAATATTTTCCAGATCACAGTTGTGGATGGACCTCAAGCACCTCTGAAACCCTACATTAAAGTTTTGACGAAGGCTGAAGAGACAAGTGAACCACCGAAGAAGATATGCAGAAAGAATGCAGGCAGAAAGAAAACAATACCTATGCCGAAAAATGTGCCACCTATAAAAATATTACCAAAACCTTTAGTAATGAATGGAGCAAAATTAGTTCAGTACAATCAGTATGTAGAAGACCCAAAATTACCTGAACAGAGGTCACAGACTATTGACAAACTCATAGAGAAAATACTAAAAGAAAATACAAACGAAATTGATGTGTTCTTCCGCAGTATGGCTGCTAGTGTTAAAAAGTTACAACCTAATTTGATACCTAAGGTTAAGATGGAAGTATGCAATGTCATTGCCAAGTATGAAATGCAAAGTTTTGATAAGAACCTGAATTTTTAAAGTAATTTTTATTGTATAAATATTGATAACAATGTTCTAAATCTATTGGATATCTACTGCTAGAAGATAGTTTATGAAGGAACTGCAATATTAAGGTATAGCTTATAGAAGGTGGAGATTAAAATAATTGTAAGAATGTGCTAACTGAATTTATGAAAACTATGACCTAGGTCACTAGTCACATACCCCCACCTGAAAAAGCTAGATTCGATGGAGGTTGGCATGTTGAACCGAAAATTATTTACACAAATAAAACCTCATTTAACATACTGGCTGTATATATTTCTACTTCAACCACCAGCTGCCATTACTAAAAAAAGCGAGTAATTTTAAACTTGGAATCTCCATTCAACTAGCGCCATTTTGGCAACTTCTTGTAATAATTTTGTTCTCATTTTACGCGAAAATAAAATAGATATTATATTATTCACTTGTGATAAATACTTCTAGTGTAGAATATTACTTTACATACTGAGTATGAAAATATTATAATGTTTTATTGAACAGATACGGTATTACTGATCTTATTAAGTATATTAAAAAAATACTATGTGCATAGCTGAGTTTTTCTTCCGAATCCAGTTAAATAAGTCGCTGCCTCCTTGGGAAATATAGTACGGAAACGAGAATTTATACAAATTAGGGTTGGTGCAATAGTTGGGCGTCCGGAGGCGACGCAGCTTCGATATGGAATATTTTTTTGTGAGATATACATTCGTATCTTGTGTGAACGCAACCACGACACAGGAGAAATCCTATGTCGTGCAAAGTTACACAAAAACAGTGCATTATTTAGTCATCAAAACAACGTTATGATGCCAATGCTAACCATTTTATAGATACTACATAATTATCAAAGCTAAAACCCAACCAATATGAACAAAAATCTACTCTAGACATATTTGTATCTAAGTACTCTAGAACTACGTAAATTGTGAAGTCCTTGTGACTATGAATTGTATAACCGTCTAGACGGGGTAGCACGGGTCGTCGAGCGCTGCTGTAATTTTAATGAACATGAACATTACAGTGACTTCAGGATTTCATTTAATTTATTAATTGCCTTTGCAAACTAGCTTGTTACGTGTACTTGAGAGTGTTTTGTTATATGGGTTTATTTTATTGATACATTTAAATTATGACAGGTAAAATCTAAGAGAATAGTGGAATCGATTGTTTTAAAAGAGGCAGTAAACTTAAAAAAGAAATATTAAAAAAGTTAAACGCGTATTCAATTTGTATCACTCGATATTGGGTGATTTTTGGTAATGTACTTTTTTAGTAACTTCATATTTCGTGGCTAATAATGTAACGATTTTGAAACTGGAATTATCAATAATCCCTTTGCAATTTGGTCGAGAACACTTTCAAACAACAACTAGCCAAATAATACCAAGCATTCATCGACTTCTAAGTACTTCTTTACCACAAAAAGCTTCATCAAACGCAATCCACGGTTCTAATTCCCGTAAAGCCTAAAGCAAGAACAAAATGCCTAGAACATTCAGCCTAGACACAGCCCCCCCCCTCGTTACCACATCAAAGGAGGTAGGTACACGGCTGACTCTTCAAATACAATGAGGTTGAGTGCCTTTATTGACTGCCAGTGTTATTCGTCAGGCTGTATGAGTGTGAGTGTGGTATTAAAACTGGTTGGTAGTTGAGAGTTGAGCCTCTTGAAGTTTTGAATGGTTTCTAATTAGAAGTTTTTTTTTAATTGGTGGGTTTCATAGTAAGTTTAGGTTTCAAATTCAAAATTAGAGCACTGGTAGTCATCGTTGCTTCTACTGTTCTGCTGTATATGTATTATGTACCTATTTTTGAAAAAGAATGTTAACCAAACTAGGTTTTTTTCATATGTTGCATATTTGTAAAGACTACATAATATCACACCTAGGCCCGCAACAAACATTTTTTTGATTATACTACGAATTATTCTACAAGGGAATCCGACAGGTGACGCTTTTCATATCAGCCCATTACTTAGTCACTGTGAACCATGAAGTCAAGTGCATCAGTCCGAACGCGTGTAAAAAAGTATTTCTTTCGATTCATATTTAAATTATTACCTACAACCAAAATAGAAAGGGAATTAGTCAAAGACATTCTATAATTATTCTTATACCGTTCAATACAATTTCCAAAAATTACTCGGCCATTTTTCGCCCCCTAGCATAAATCTTACAATGACAGGATATCGGAGGGTTGATTATAATGCTAAGCCCATCGGGGTGATTTAGACCTGTTTTCGTAAATTAAGATGTAGTGGACATGAACTGTCGAAGGTTAGTTATTGGCCACATATCGATTTTTCATTTAGAATGCGGACTGCAGTAGTTCGGGGTTTAATGTAGACGGCCATTTTGCTGGCTGGGGACGTTGCATTTAGGAATGGACATAATTTTATTATGTTCGATGCAATTTAGTTGGGATATCAGTTTGTAGGTACATTTATACAAAATGTTAGATTTGCGTTGAATGTTTCACTACTTCTTAAACTGTCAAACACCAAGCGGTCACCGGTGAACCTATTGTTCTTTAATTGTGTCTATAATGACGGTACTCAAAAAGTTAAGCTGTTTAGCTTTCTGTATGGATAGCATTATTACAAGGAAAATAAGGATTACTAGTTCGGGCAGATCGTCGGTTTAATTTTTCTCAAAATAGGCTATGAGTTATCATTCTTATTAAAATACAACTAATCAGTTATAGTTTAGTCAGTTAACCTATATTTCTAGGGAATAATAAAAACGATGCTGTCTCAACTTCTATAAAATCAATCAATAAACATTTACGTTAATTATTTTACTTAAACCCAAAACCGCAACAACGGTTAGGTTAGGTTAGGTTAGGTAAGATTGCGTTAACCGAGATTCAGTTACATTTCAATGACAGCGTGTCACAATGTTGCCAACAACCCGCCCCGATCAGGGTTGCCAGATAAAATAAATCCGAATAATATTTTTTTCGAAATCTCGTAAGTGGTGCTTTGTGGGTCAGCAAGCTGTCTCCAGCATTCATTGATAAGTCGATATCTTTCATTCGTAATTAAATAAAGAAACAAGTAAGTTTGTATGTTATTAAAAGCACCATTTTAATTTCCAATAATGGTGTTAATTCCAATTTGCAACATAATAATATGCAGTAAATTACTTAATACACATTCTAAATAAAACGGTTCAGAAGCTTTGTAAGGATTCTATTAAAATAGTGCAATAAAATAAAACCTAAAGATGCTATTTATCCTATACATAGTGTAGTATACATAGAACCACCGATTTTTATAAGTTAAGTCTATTAAGTCCACGTAAGAAACTTAAACTTAGTGGCATCTACATATTACAAAGAATATTAAAATAAAAAATAAACTGATAAAACGAATCATTCATTAAATTCTTAGCCACTTATTTATAAAGGTAATATAATATATATAAGTACAGCTTTCTTTTAATTAACGAGACAGGCCACTGAGCATAAACTTCTTTGATTGCAACGCGCAATGCACTTTCACTGATCACTCTCGCTATTCGCTAATTAGTTACAAATCAATAAAACATTAAGTCTACTTCTACTGCCAAGCTGCTCGTTCCGGTTTGTGTGTAACTGTGTGTAAATCTTCAATTATATAATAAGTAGGTAATTAAATCTATCTTTACTGACTGAATGACAACGCAAAGTCGAAGCTAGTGGACCTTTTTTTTGTTTTGAAGGGGGAAAATCATCCAATGACTTCTCTCGCCCGGGTAAGGCGAGAGTGTTAGACACTTAATGACTAAAAACCACCCCGTTCCTACTCCTGCACTTCGAGCCGGAGACCCGGCAACCCTTTAAGAAGCTAGTGGACCTGGGAAGAAGGTGAAATTTGGCATCTTTTGTGAGTGCTTTAGGGCCTACTAGTAAAAGAGCAACTAAAAGTAGATTTTCCCACAGCAATGGAAAGAGATATTTATGGGCAAAAGCTACATTATTTAGATTCATTCTTAACTGTATTCGAATAAAAGTTTACTAGATGTTAGATTACATATCAACACTAAAATTTACCAACTTAGTATGATCTCGGGGTCGGAAAAAGGTTATTTTTAACCCAGACCCGGAACAACAATTCGTGGATCATACTAAGAGTTGCTCCATGCGGGAATAGCGCGGCAGCCGGTTGCCCAGCCACCGCACCAACCAGCAGTCAAAGCTGCTAGTAAGTACATATGTAACATAAAATAATCTAAATCTACATATCCTACAAAATTAAGCATTTAACTAAAACAAAGCAATACGCCGCTGCCGCCGCTGGCTTGCATTGCGTTGCAAACAACTACCATTATTCAACAGGGAACCACGCTACTTCTCTATTGAAAATAAGCCTTACAATACGAAGGCATGAATTAGAAGCCGCCCCTAGCCGGTAGCTGGGAAACGAGTAAACAGAACTAAAGTGGATGGGATGTACACTGTACAGACATATAGGTACTCATTGTATTGTATTATATGCTCTGTGCTTTGTGTAAATAAAGGGGAAATAAAGTTGAATTGTGTTTCGCTCGTACTGGTGTAGATTTTTAACTGTCATTTTTATACCAAACTGATATGTTTTGTTATGCTAATGCTAATTAAAAATAGGATACTTAATTATTTAGGTGGCTGACTTTAAGAAATAGTAATAAATTGCGAATTTTTAACCATCATCGACAGTAGACTGCGCGACATCGCCGCGACCGCGCACGGTGTTCATGAGGAAAAACCCCTCTCTGGTTCGAAACTAGTAGAGCTTTTCTTAGTCTTTTCTCGTTAATTTTTGATTGGACGTCAAGTCAAAAATATTATTAACAGAATTATGATTAAGTACACAGAATTTCGTCCTGAACGCCCAGTCATCTACTCATACCTGCGCAATAAGGCAGTCGCTCATTCACCACAGAATTGCTTCACATTGCAAACCCCAGTCAGGACTTCGTGACGGCAACACAGCATTACAAAACAGTACAATTATTATAGAAACTAATTTTCAAAATTGGTATAAATTATACTATTCGGTAGGAATATGGCAACCCTATTGGAGATCATTGGCGCCAACCGTTGGCGAACATATTGTTTTGACACGTAAAACCGTGATGTAACTTTAGACTGTGCACAATGCAGTATTGTGCATACATTTTGACACAGAACTTGTCATGTTTATTTGGCATTATGACGACAAGAGACTAGTTCGTATCTCAGGACGAATAAGTACCTACATATTTAACTAGCTACTTCCGCGCGGTTTCACACGCTCTGCTCAGCTCCTATGGGTCGTAGCGTGATGTTTTATAGCCTATAGCAATCCTCGATAAATGCGCTATCCAACACAAAAATAATGAATCAAATTAGACTTATAGTTACGGAGATTAGCGCGTTCAAACAAACAAACAAAAAAACAAACTCTTCCGCTTTATATAATAGTATATGATATAAGATAATCTGTCTCTTAGGTTGAAATCAATGTATTGGCTACTACCATCGCTAATCAGACTGCTTCGATTCGATACATTAATTGTCATGTCAAGTATAAAGTAGAATGAGACCGAGACTGCCTCGTTGGCCGAGTGGTCGCAAGTGCGAATGCCGGGCAAGGAGTCACGGGTTCGAGTCCCGGGTCGGGCAAAGTATTAAGTACTGGGTTTTTAAAAAAATCTCAGTAGTAGCACGGAGCCTGAAATTGTACCCGATGTATGGCGATAGGCTCACGCTCAAAAAGTGGGTGTTTTGTACAGTGGCATTAAATACCGTTATGTGCACCTATTACCCCTTCCAAGATAAAAAGGCGTGATGTTATGTTATGTTGAGACCGAAGTCTCAAAGAAATGCAATCGTGGTATATGTACATATGTTGGATTAAACATAACATAAAGCTTGTAACACACTTAACAGGATACGCGACTTGACGAATGAAGCGTGTTCGTTAGCCATAATTCATCTCAAGATGACAGCTAAGTTAAAGCGAGGCACGCGCTGTGTCGCATCGTGTGTGAACAGTCTGTTACTGGCTTAAAGCAGATACAGATCCTTACTTATATATTATATTATAAATCAGAAAGTGAGTTTATTTGTTTGTTTGTTTGTTCCGCCTTCACGCCGTAACTACTAGACCGATTGCTTTGAAATTTTGCAGACGTAAAGTTAGAAGTCTCGATTAAATAATAGGGTACTTTTTATCCCGGAAAACATTGATATTTCCTAGGAAAAACAAAAATATTGGTATAGCGGCGTTGGCGGCGTATTAGATGGCGTTGTATGTCATTTAAAACCAGACAACGAATTACCTACTTATTGGAAAAATCTAAATAGCGCGATATAACCGAATTCCACGCGAGTGAAAAGCTATTCTGTTTGTTTGCCTGTCTTAAACGGCAGAACGGAGGTACTAATTAACGTGATTTTTTAACTGAAGGTAGTTGAAGTTCAACTACCTTCAGTGAAGGTAGTTCCGTTCAAAAGTAGCCTATGTGACTATCCATCCGTTCAACTGTTGAACGGATGGATAGTCACATAGGCTACTTTTTATCCTTTTGTGACGCGAGCGAAGCCGCGGGTAAAAGCTATCCTATAAATGCCCAAATACCTCTTCTTACACGGAGAAGATTTGAGCATTAATCGCCACGCTTGCTCAATACAGATTGTCGACTGGCATTGCGATAATTAATAATTATAAGCCCAGGTTTGCTCACGATGTTTTCCTTCACCGTTTGTCAGTGTTGTCTAAATAATCTTAGAAAGTACACATAATTCGAAAAAAGTCTCATTGGTACTTGCCGTTGGTAGGTTTCGAGCCCGCGCTTTCTTAAGAAACGGGAGTCTTAAACCTCCGGGCCACCGCGACGTATAGTCAAACTGTAATAGTAATATACGCCAACGAAACGACTACGCTCACAATTCGTCTGCAAAGTAACTAAAGCGGCACAGCGCTTGTCTAAATAACTCAGTGCGACTGCCACCGACTGATTACAGAGTTTCAGACTAAGTTTTAAGTCCCATCAGGCTTTAGGACTAAGCTTAAAGCTGGCACGACTGATTTCTAAATGAAGCCTGCATTGATTCGATTGTTTCGAAGACAACAATAAAGTAGGTTTTTTTATAAGTACCTAATTAAAGAACTTACTGGAAATCGTAGATACTAAAAGTTCAAGTAGACATTTTATCCTATACTCTGTATAATATATAATATTAATTTTAAGGGACAACTCCGCAATACATACCCGAATTAGTAAAACTCATGTAAGCTAGCATCTAACCAAAAAGTGACAACAACCAGAAAAATGCAAATACCCCAGGATATCAAGAGCACAAAAAAAAATGTGATCTGGATATCCTGATTTTGCAACAAACAAACAATAACATTTGGCGAGCGCTTCAACAGTTTACCCAACAAACGAAATATGTGTAGCTAACATGTAGAATCTTCTAGAAATGTCGCAATCAAACGTCGATCAACTATAGACATTACTGTCGATCAAAGTTATCAAACAACAGATAGAAAGATTCCTACTGACAATAATTACGTAAACAAATTCCATTTTGATGAAAACAAAGGAAAATTGTCCGATTGTATTCTTACATAAAGTACAGATAGTAAAATCATTGTTCTCTTCTTGTTGCTTTTGCATAATATACTATTTATTCGTAGCTTATTGTAGTTTCAATTGTGTATTTTGTAAAATGTTTGTTTTGAATTATTTTTCTTTATTGTATAGAAAGTTATATTATGTAACGCGATTATACGTATAAAGATTGAAGTATTATGGAGAAGGAAGCCATACTACTTGAGTGGTATTAGATTATCGACTGTAAAAAACGTATTTAAATCTTATAATGAGTAATTATGAGAAATTTTAATAATTACTTAGAGGTTATCATCGACAGCATCATATGTGATTGTTCGCTGGTGGGCTATGAGCCTCTTCTACGTAAGAAAGCCTGTCTACATTTGATAAGATAGGTAAGGATTCGCAGTAAAAAACAACAACGATCCGAACATAGTACCTCCTCCTTTTTTTAAGGCAATAAAAAGTTCAGTACTATCAAAGCACGGTACTGCTCGGTCTCTATCGAATAATAGTTCTTAGTGCCTATTATAACTTTCCCAAGAGGAAATCCAAGGAATTATTAAAAAATATGACAAGTGTAAACTTGAGGACAACATTATCATCGCTATTAAAACAAGAATAGGCTAAAACAAAACTGAAGTGCCTTCAAAATGGAAGAAGGATTAAATATTTAGGGGCTTATAAATATTTTAAGCTTCTACGACGTCGACAGTAACAACTTTAGATAAGCCGCTTGAAGCGAGGAAAGTGGAAACTTAAGAAAGATAAAAGAAAACTTGACAAGACAATGACGTCTTTGAATTTTGTATTTTCAAGATTTTCCTGATTTATAATAGGCTTTTGAAACGTTCATGACTCGATAATTCTGATATTTATCTTTGTAGATTATTACTATTTTACAAATACGATCATAGTTTGTTTTTTAAATAAAATTACGTCAAAAATTGCCATAAAATGAAAAGCGTGGTATTACGCGAATTACGTAATGTGAGTTTTCCTCAAGGTGCGATTTTAGGTCCATTCCTAATTTTAGAAGTTTTAAATAGAAACTTCGAATCATTTAAGGCTGCAATGTGATTATAGAGTAAAAACCTGTTTACACAATTTATACAACATCATTTATAAAGAAATTTCCACATACCTGTGACGTAGTGAACCTCCGACTGCCGGACCTGCTGAGAGTACCGCCCCTCACGTTGCTATCTGACAGTTCCACATCACCACCGCCATCAGCTGCCTTCCGACGAGACAGCTCACACAATTCCGCTATCGGTTGCACCTGTGTAGAATTTGCATGTAAAATAAGAAAGTTTTAACAAGACGATAAAGATCGAATCGGGTTTGATATTAAAAGTTTTAACTTTTTAAGCTAACTTAAACATGCTATGTTACGGCGGTTATTGGGAAACTAGGCTATATCTTGAATGGCTATTTGGTATTTTCAACGAGAAAAGTTAATAAAACCGGCCAATCTAATAATCATAATATCGTCATCAGTAACAGTAGTAAGCATATTATAGCCAATCACAATACCGTTAGAAGTTCAAATTCTAAAATAAAAAGAAATCTGATTTCAAATTTGGAATAAAAAAAATGAATGAAAACAAACAATTAAACTAGACTTCTTTCTTTATAAATAATTAAAAACAAAACGGACAAGTTTAAAAACAGAACCAATACTTTTACTGCGTGACTGAGTCATCACAAGGCATGTCAATCATTCAGCCAGTAAGAAAAACGTTATACAAACCTAATTAGTATCGTACCTGCATGGTAATTTGACATTGACAGCGACCTTATCTTATGGCGATAAGGTCGGTATTCCTAGGGCAAGTGGAATGATTTTATACAAATCGAGCTTGAAAGTGGTTTTCCTGTAAACACGACTGTGAGAGAAAGTAACGTAATGAGCGTGTTGCATGATGAGAGCCAGAATATGAGCCAGGAGTCAGATACTGTACTTGGGATACATATAGATAATTAAAGCACAAACAAACAAATTCAAATTTCCAATCTGGTTACAGACAAACTGTTAGGGTGCCCTGCGAGATGTCATTTCTTTTATACCAATGGGTTTACCCTCTGGTATAAGGGATTGTGTTATTAATCCTAGTCTTGCTCCAATTAGACCCATTTATTCTATTGCGAACATAAATGTTATTTTGCATATCTTCTAATAGTTGTAATGCAATCTTAGTACAATAATGGCTATCTAACATCATGTAACCAACACTAATACACTATAACGGTACCGCCTTTTGCGTGTTTGAAACTTATTGAAAATTGATGCAGTAATTTCGGAGATATTGAGTAACATATTGACATATATATGTTTGCATTACTATTGCAAATAGACTAACAAACATTCTGGTTATCTTTTCGAAAAAAATTACATTACAGTTGTAATTTGTATGTTCAAAAAACCTATGGTATTCACTATTTGGATACGTTACAGGATACTATGCAACTTGAACCAAACCAGGCTACATTCAGGCAGGTATTAACAAAACCTAGCAATACTCTTACATTCATCAACAACAAATTACTAATCTATAGCCAATTGGAATGATGACAGGATATGAAAATAAAAAATATAATTAGTCCGTAAGTAAGGTAATGAAAAAATATTAGACACGTATTTTTTTATTTTGTCGTATAATAAAACAATACTTAGTTAAAACTAGTCAATGTTTAGGAGTGGATGCTAAAACGTCATTTCTACGTATAAAATGTACACAGAAGTGACGTCACGCGACGCGAAGAAAATAAAAAATACGTGTCTATGATTTAAAATAATCTACCAGACGGACATTAAAATACAAATTAGGCATAAACCCTATTAACAATAAACAATTAGTACTTAAACAAGACATTCACAAATTCATTAGACACGATTGTCTCCAAATGAACGGCAAAAAGACTTCACGCCGGCTAACGGTCTAAAAGCCGTTTCGAAAGCATTATATTATTTCCTAGTTTTTTGTCTAAATCAACAGCCGTGTCTGAATATTGAATGAGAAATTTTAAATAAAACCGTTATTGACAATGGAAAGCTAATAGAGATATTTCGGCCTAGACTTTGAAGCAGAAAGTTTTAGGGTGTAACTTTCAGTCTTAGCTCAAGTAAAAGAAATATTCTGTTTAGCTATACGGTTCATGCTTGGTCTGTTTCGAAGAAGTTATAAAGTGAGTGGTACACATCCTTACTATATAAATATTATAAATCGGAAAGTGAGTTTGTTTGTTTGTTTGTTTGTTCCGACTTCACGCCGTAACTACTAAACCAATTGCATTGAATTTTTGCAGACGTAAAGTTAGTAGTCTGGATTAAATAATAGGGTACTTTCCATCCCGAAAAAAATTGATATTCTCGAGGGAAAACAAAAGTATTGATATAGATGGCGCTGTATGTATTGGTATATGTCACATAGGCTCCTTTTTTTTTGTGACGCGAGCGAAGCCGCGGGTAAAAGCTAGTGTCATATAATTCTGGTATCTATCGAAGCAAAATGAAAGGTGAATGAGCAGAATTTTCAGAAATATTTGCATTCACAAAAGTGTATCATACTTCAGTCTCATCGGTTTTCACGAATAACATTCGTGGTGTAATGCTTTCAGATAGCAACGTTTATGCCGCTTACATGCAACCATACACGTAGTAATTGAAATTCATTTTGGAATCCTTAATGAATGATATTTATGCAAAATGATGAAATGCAATCTAAAATTATACATTTTATCAGTATCGAAGTCAATGTCATTCGAAAACATCTTATCGGGATCTTAACACGCTTTACTACTCGATATATTATGCCAATGAATGCTAATTAATACTTCAAGACTCACCTTAATTGTCACTGAATCTTGGCTTCCTTTGATGAGGTCAATGATCTCTTCTCGGCTCTTCTCTTCAACGTTCACACCATTTACTTCCAAAAGCCTATCACCAGGTAACAGTCCTGTCTCACTGGCTCCAGGATAAGACCCTGGTTCAGCCAGAATTACAGCTTTCAAATTCAATTTGCTAACCAATCCAAGATTATTGCATTTATTGTCACCGTTTAGAAGAGCATTGTCATGACCATTCATATCTCCGATGAAGATTCGCTCCTGAACCATCGCTCTACGAAGACTGAAGCCGAAGTCGTTTCTCGGAGCTTTCTGCCTTTGGATGGTAAGGTACCTAGGCTTAGGTAAGCGCACAGGAGTCAATGATGGAAGTGGGAGATATACATCTTCAAAATTACTAGTCCTGGACCATCGATGGAACCCTTGGGACTCGCCAACAGGTGAGGTAGAAAACGGCGGAGTAGCAAATGAAGAGTTCGTTGTCGTATCAGTTAGAGAATCAGCACTTGGAGAGGTCGACGTTACTCCATGGTAGCTGTTCCCATTCGTCTTTGGTACCTCATCAACGTCCTGCGTCGTTATCGACGGGTTATTGGAATTATTCTTATAGTTTTTGTATTGTGTCTCCACAGGGCTATGAATTACTTTTTTGGTAAAGTTCTGTACGTGCTGCATATCATCACTGGAAGAGGTGCTCTTAGAAGGAGGAATACCGTAAGAGATCATCTCATTCTGTTGAGTATTTCTGGCTAACAGGTTGATGTCTTGACCGTTGACATTATCAACTGCGTCAGTGCTTTGGACATTGTTTTCTACAGAATTGGAACTAGTATTGCTGAGACGTGGTCCTTTAAGGATGCCACGTTTTGGTGGACGTGGTGGTATAGGAGGTAGATTTGGCGGTTGTCTAGGGCTGGTGTTGGCGTTGTTCGGATTATTTAAAGAGTTTAAAGATGTTTCGGAGCTATCGGATTGCAAGACACCTTCCTTCTTGTTCCAGGTGTGAGTAGTAGGGTAACTAGGCGACAGGTGATTGTTTTCATCGCTTAGATTAGAGTTAGACCCCGAGGTAGGTATGAGCGGGTAATTGGAGTAGTTTGAGTCTTGTTCGAGATGGGCGAACAAGGATGCGGTGTAGTCAGCTGTGATGCCCGAAGGCAGTTTCTCCTTTTCTTTGCGTCTGCCCCGCAATTTCAGCGATCGCCGGACCTGTGAACGATAAACATAATTTTAGTGAATTAAGTCTATCCGTTATGGCTCAGTTGGTATGAAGGTCGAAAGTGACTAGTCAATAGAATTACTAAAACTAATCGCACTATTGGAACGGTAGGATATTTGAATGCGATTTAGTATTGAGCATGATTTAATACTTTTAAATCGACAAGTCATTCGCAAATGGGAAACTGATGGATTGGACAACGCAGTAGATGAAGTAATTTGTCAAACAGCTGACACTTGAGGAAATAATGTTAATATCGAGGAAGGAGCAGGTGCAAGGGATAATGATCTTTGCCTGGACGTGATAGAGGCGATATTGGATGAACGAAAGGGGCAAGATTTTGCAAATGGCCTGATGACTCTCAGTTTCGTGACGACGGTACTCGTATAGCAGTATTGTAAACGGTTAAGGAAGCAACGGGTTTTTGTAATTTGGCTGCGACATTCTTGAGGATGGACGCGCATAAATAAAATACCAACGAAAGTGTATCAAAAAACCTGTTTCGGTCTCCTCAATTGTTACAATATATAATAGTTAATTGTGGAATAACAGTTTCATTCATAAAGAAACAATGCATTCATTATAGTTGCACAGTACTAGATAAACAACTGGACAAACATATTGTATAGAACTAAAAACATTGATATACAATTCGATGCAGAAAAAGATGCTGATTGTAAACATTTCCGACTTTTTGCGAATAAAAATAGACGAAACCAAAACAAAGCAATAGTTATGTAAATAGAAATTTTGAATATGAATACGTAATTAATTTTAATAGGACCACACAACGGAACAAGTCTTTCCTTACCATAATTGGATGAAATCGTACAAAACATCAAGGCTGGTGGTATCGATCAAAATCTTTGTAACAACGCGATAATTGTGTCAGACCAGACACGAGTCTGACTATCAGACGATCTGACGCGGTCTGTTAGACCCGAACAACTATAATAGTGAAAGGTGGGTTAGCAATCACGTACAATTAAAAATATTAGATTTTTTGAGTGGTCAGAGGAAAGTTATTGGGTTTTGCTTTTGCTTTATTGCTGGTAGAATTACGCAAAAACTAGTAGGCTTGTTACAACATCAAAAGCCTGTGACAGTTCACTTATGGAATATGGGCCTCCTTTGCATTCTTATGTCTCTTGGATTCACCATTCTACAATAGGGCTGTCCAAACAAAGGCCCGAGGGCCGCATGCGACACGCAACTTGTTTTCATGTGGCCCGCGACACACATTTTAATCTCAACATCTTCATTTTACGTGTAAAGAATACAATGTTAAAGGTCATTATACAACTGAAAATATTTTTCTGGCCCTCCAGCATTTGTAAGAAATTTAATCAGCCCGCGAGGGTATACAGTTTGGACAGCCTTAAAGCAGGTCTTAAAGCAAATCGCAGTTAAGTTTATCAGAGAGTACTGCAGCTAGATGAATTATTATATTTTTCGACGTTAAACCCACAACACGGCGACTGTCGCCGTGTAGACCGCGACAGTCGCGTCGCAGATCGTGGAATGCAGCTCATAAATATGAGCCTCTAGCATGGCTTAAAACTAGTCAAGTTCCTCGTCTAATAATTACTTGAGTAAGCCGAATAACATAATAATTAATTTAGTATGTCTCACGAAGATTATAACATTAAAACTGCAGCAAGGTCTATGCCAAATATGTATTCTTTTAGTAGGCTGTTACGATACTTGAATAGTCACACAATTCGTCACAATTTAAGTATTTTAAACAAGCGAGCTAATTGGTATTCAGGGTTCCTGCTTAGGTCAGACAAATGCGACGATTTACAGCTAAAACCTAAAGACACCTCGATGAAATGAATCATTTTTGAAATATTTAGTGAGTTACTTTTTCTTAGAATTTATGACATGGTGCAATGAACCGATTCGAATTTCCTTTCTTTTTTAGGAATAAATATCCAGGCAATGTCGTAACATAAAGTAAAAAGAAATCTACTGCTATCTAGCTTTCAGACGCATTTGCAGCACTTACAAATATTAATGCATTAAAAGAAAACAATTTGAACCCTTTCCTTTGCAATGGGGAAGAAACCCTCTTGAATCCCTTAAGATGAGGGGAGTGAAGGAGATTATATGATTGTTATTGATTAAAACCCACACGGTATTCTGTAACACACGTATGTAGTAGAAGAGTTGCGAAAAATACACATGGCTTCTATTCAAAGCTTAATAGAAACGGAGAGAGAAAACACAAGTATTGTTAAAGATCTAGGATCTACAAGTTAGAATGGAATAGCCAATAAAATACATAAAGAAGTCATAACTGCACAGTTAGCGTAGTGCCTGGACAAACAACGGCTGCAAAATGTGTCCCGATTTTGGTTCACGCATGAAACCAATCTTTATGTGGTCCACAAATTGTTAAGTAGGAATCGTGTGTACTTGAACATGTTAGTAAATACACTCACGACATAGACTCAGTCAATGTAGGGTTACGTCACGGAAGAGATACATAAGTTAATATTAATAGGCAAATTGTATGCAATACCAATGTCGACAAAGCTAATCCCAGCATTTTCAATCCCGTAGCCTGAATGTAGTTAACGTCCATTTCACAAGATCACCAACAAACTACTGAAATCGTATCTCAAACCGAAACAATAGTTATCTATTGTTTCGGTTGTTGTTTACTATAAACAATATTTGGTTAGACAAATGTCTACTGATGAATTTTTGTGTGTCTTTGTCATCCGTCAGAGGTTAGGTGGAAATTTGTATCTACAGTATGAAGGAATCTTCTCGTGACTATCGCCCGAATACTGAAAGGCTACTCAATGCTAAGTTGTACTTAAATATCGTGCCATCTCTCTCTCTCTCTCTCTCTCTCAACAAATTTATAGTAAATTAACTAAAAATGGCGGGTTACTCACGTGAATATACTGAGAAAAGCTCGACTAGTTTCGAATCACAGGTTTTTAGTTAATTTAGTGTCTCACGATAGTTATTATAAAAACAAATATATTAACAGAACTTTACTTAAGCGCGACTTGAACTTGCGTAACGGTTCGGTATTATGGCGTAAATGTGCTCTTTTAATTCATAACCGAACTTTGATTGACATCTATTGTTGATATAAGTTCCGTCAAAACTGTAGATTAATTCAGACTTCGAATTAGGATTAATAAAATTGGAAATGGAACGAAGTTTCATAGAAGTTTGGTGAAACTGGCAAACTAAACTAACAATTCATAGAAGTTTGGTGAAACTGGCCGTCAAGAAGATATCGTTTGATATATTTTTTTTAAAGTTTGAAATTGGCTGTACATGTAACAACGCTGCGTCAGAGAGAAGAGGACCTACTATATGTATAGATTACAAAGAAATTTTCTTCTGTCAACTTTATAATTAGTGAGTACATATTTATTGTCAGATGTATTTATGTAAGACAGATGCAATAATTCTATTTGTTCTTGTTTTACAACTCTCGTGAATCGTGACAGATTTTAATTATTAAATTAATTATATTTTACGATTAGAAACCGAGTTACATCTTCAAAGAGTTACGTGACTAAATCGTAAAACATAATTCATTTGAGTAAATTCATGTTAAAAGATTTGTGATGCATCAGTGGCGGTCAAACGAAAACTTCAGAATTTATTCAATTAGGTAATTGGGATGATGACGGAAAATTAAAAATCGAATTAGTCCGTAAGTTAGGTAATGAAAAAATATTAGACACGTATTTTTTATTTTGTCGTATAATAAAACAATACTTAGATAAAACGAATCAAAGTTTAGGAGTGGGTCCTAAAATGTCATATCTACGTATAAAATGTACATAGAAGTGACGTCACGCGACATTTCAAATCAATATATCGTCGAAAATATTCGTTTCTGTAATAAAATAAAAAATACGCGTCTAATGATTTTAACTCGTCGAGTACCGGTTTTATAGACACAATTAAAGAACAATAGGTCGCGGTCACCGGTGACCGCTTGGTGCTTGACAGTTTAAATAATCTACCAGCCGGACATTAAAATAAAAATTAGGGATCCACCATATTCACTATTTGATAGAAAAGTTTTTTTTTACGAAAGCACATTTTATACATTTCTCAATAAAAACCTTTCGTTCGTTTTCATTCAGCGACGTTTTGTTTTTTATTTTTCGATTCTCGTTTGTCTAGCCAGTGTCTGGGCTGGGAGGCTGACAATTTGGGCGCTTTCCAACTATTGGACTAACGACTTCTAGCACTTTCTATGTATAAGTTGAATGGGCGTGTACAGTGAAATGGAGGATAAAGGCATTGTTATTTGTTTAAATTTTTAGTTTCGGAGTAAGTATTAAATTAATAAATTATCCTTTTGTTACCATTGATGTAGCGGAGAAGGGATGATAACTATGTGACTAAAATAATGCTTTCAATTTGTTTTGTTTAAGTGTGGGAGAGCCATGCTTCGGCACGAATGGGCTGGCTTGACCGGAGTGATACCACAGCCTCACAGAAAACCGACGTGAAACAACACTTGCGTTGTGTTTCGTCGTGTGAGTAAGGTTACCGGAGGCCCAATTACCCTCCACTTCCCCAATCTCCCCAATCCCTGAATCCCCAACGATCCTCAAACTCCTAATCCCCAAAAGGCCTGTAAAGCATTTGTAACGCCTCTGGTGTTCCGGGTGTCCATGGGCGACGCCGATTGCTTACCATCAGGTGATCCATCTGCTCGTTTACCGGCTAATGCCATAAAAAAAAAACAATACGCAAAATTGATGTTGAAAATTGTTACATCCTGTATTTTTCCAATGATTTTGGGTCGTTGTTGGTCGAGTTGTTACAGTTGTGACTTCCAAATAAGTGTTACTATCAAGTTTACTCTTGAATCAGAACAAGAATTAATGGAGTACCCATTTGTTTAATAATTTGGCAAAGGAGCAAACGCATCACCAGGATGCTTACTCTTGAAACCAATCTCATTGTCAATGCAATTTCAATCCAATTAAATCTCAATAAT